CTGTATTCACAGCCTTGATGGATGTTACCAAAGGTCAATATGAAACTTACCTGCGGGATTGCCCAGACCCTTGCATAGGTTGGTGAGCACACACCTGGCCCCTAGAATGCTCTCTGTGTGGCATGAAGACGGAAACTCACATGCATCCAACTAGTGCAGCCATCTGATCTTCCAAAGACCAAGACTCAGGGCAGTTTCTCGTTGAGGCATGAGCTTGTTTTTCTTATGTTTACAGTTCAGACTGTTTCTGCCATAACAGTTGATTGTTCTATTTACAGGTAACTTCTTTATGTACAAAAATCAATCATCTACAATTTGCAGTTTCACTTCACTTTGACTTTTGGGGATAGGGATGGGCAATGAATCTATTATGGGACCTGCCTCCATAGAATAAAGCAAGATTCTTGGTGGGTGTTGAATCCAGCGCATCTGTACATCATTCACTTTTTCACTTTAATCCACATATTTGTATGATTTTCTTTTCCTTCTGGTTCAAACTATTAAAATTAGCACACCATGGTCTTTGCTGTCTGTGACAGCAATGTAATTTCACTAATTTTGATTGGAGGGGGATGAGACAGACATTCAGCTGTGTCGTTCTCTTAAGAGGCAATAATACTTGAGCCTTTGACCCTGAGTAGGAGTCCTTTTTTGGGTTCATGAAGTAATTAATCCATGTGCAAGGCGCCTTTCATACACAGAATTGACACGTTCCCTTTTTCATGATTACTCTACCTCCCAGTTAACTCCGGGCAGTTGTTAACTTCAGACATGGAATCGAATCCCAGGTTCTGTGAATTAACAGTAAATAGGCCAAAGCCTTCTGGAAAGTGAGAGGTGAACCCATAAACTCACATAAATAGCATTCACTTAATTAATGTTTAGTTTATCTTTCTGATCACTATGTATTTTTAAAAAACATAGTTACTAAAAATGTTTTTCAGAAATCAGTCTATTTATGGAAAGTGCTAATAGAACTTGTTAACCTTTCAGACTTTAACTGAAATGCACCAGTTGGCCGAGACTGTATCCACTTTATTTTGTATGTTACTTGCATTCATGACGCTCAATAAACAGTCACTGGAAGTAGTGCGAGCGGTCTCGTATGCTGATTCCGTGTGCACCCACGTGCCGGTTTGAGGGCGGGGCTCATGGGGGAGAAATCCAAGCTGAACACAGCGTCTGAAGTAAATTCCAAGGGTTGTGTAGGTGGGTTCTTCAACCTAGGACTGAATGGTCACTATCTTACATGACTAATCCTTCCACAGCAGTGTGCAGGTGTCCAAAGGCTATTTTTCCCCTGGGAAGAGGTGCTTCCACAAAACTGTAGTGATGCTAATACCATCTTAGTGAAGCAAGACGAATTACAAGAGGATTTGTGTTAAAATAGGATTTGACTTTTAAAGAAAAACAACCCTCGGGGTGCACGGGGCCAGCTCAGTGAGGAGCTGCAACTCTTGATCTCGGAGTCATGAGTTAGACCCAGTGTTGGGTGTGATTACTTAAGAATATAAATAAAATCTTAAAAAAACCCCACAACTTCAGATTTTGTTCCCCTTATAAAAATGAAGTGAGGTAAACTTGTATTTTTTCTAAAGTTGTAGTCTTTTATATTCATAATAGGTGAGATGCTAATTGTTTTAGACCAGTTTCTCAGGACTACATCAGAGAACAGGGAGGAAGTAACAACTGGCATTAAGATTTTAGGTAGTATTGCTTAGCGGTAAAAAAGCAGTTATAAAATAGGATAGAGTATAAGCCTATTTATAGATGTACTTAAGCATATTTAGATACACATCTAGAATATAGTAAGATGATGGGGAGGGTGTTTACCAAAATGTTGACAGTGGTTCCCACTGGATAGTGGTATTAATTGCTGTTTTAATTTGGAGAGGACATTAATGTGATTGCAGTGTACCTAGTTTTACAGCAGTTTGCTTTATTGTGCTTCACAGATGCTGTGTTTTTTACAAATAGGTTTGTGGCAACATTGCTTCAAGCACTGTTTTCCAACAACATTTGCTCACTTTGTGCCTGTGTCATATTTTAGTAATTCTCACGAAATTTTAGACTTTTTCATTGTTACTGTATTTAATATGGTGATCTACCTACCAGCCATTTTCCCATCTCTCTCCCTCTCCTTGGGCCTCCCTATTCCCTGAGACACAACAATATTAAAATCAGGCCAATTAATAACCATATAGTGGCTTCTGAGTGTTTAAATGTCCATGTGTCTATTGATGGAAACTGTGTTGCTTCCATGTGTTGGCTATTGTAAATAATACTGATAGAAACGTCAGGGTGCATGTTATCTTTTCGAATTAGCGTTTTCATTTTCTTTGGGTAAATAGCCAGTAGTGGAATTACTGGATCGCACGGGAATTCAATTTTTTGAATTATTGTAAGGAGCTGAGGGGATTCTCTCTTGAGCCTATTTATATTCATTTATATTCAAGGAACCTCCATACTGTTGCCCACAGTGGCTGCACCAGTTTGCGTTCCCAGCAGTGCACAAGGCTTCCCTTTTCTCCTTTTCTCCACGTCCTTGCCTACACGTATGTGTTATCTTTTTGATACTAGCCCTTCTGACAGGTGTGAGGTGATACCTCATTGTGGTGTTGATTTGCATTTTCCTGATGAGTGATGTTGAGCATCTTTTCATGTGTCTGGTGGCCATCTGAAGGTCTTCATTGGAAAACTCTATTCGGATCTTCCACCCATTTTTAACAGATTTTTTTTTTCTATTGTGTTACTGAGTTCTTTATTATAATTTTGGATAGTAACTGTTTATTGGATAGGTCATTGGCAGATATCTTCTCCCATTCAGTAGGTTGCCATGTCTCATTTTAAATCAAAAGCTAAAAATGACTAAGCTTAGTGAGGAAGGCACATAGAAAGCCAAGAAAGGCTGACAACTAGGGCACTTGTGCCAAACGGGCCAAGTTGTGAATGCAAAGAAAAAGTTCTTGAAGGACCCTGAAAGTGCCATCCTAGTGAACACATGAATGGTGAGAAAGCAAAACAGCCTCATTGCCGATATGGAGAGAATTTAGGTGGTCTGGATAGAAGACCGAGCCAGCCACATTTCCTTAAGTCAAAGCGTAATCCAGAGCTTTAATCCTGTGAAGGCTGAGAGAGGTGGGGAAGCTGCAGAAGAAAAGCTGGAGTTAGCAGAGGTTGGCTCACGAGGTTTGAGGAGAGAAGCCGTCTCCGTAACATCGAAGTGCAAGGTGAAGCAGCAAGTGCTGATGGAGAAGCTGCAGCAAGTTACCCAGAAGATCTGGCTCCGATCATCAGTGCAGGCAGCTACACTAAACAATAGGTTTTCAGTGCAGATGAAACAGCTTTTTTTTTTTTTTTAAGATTTTATTTATTTATTTGCGAGAGAGAGAATGAGAGACAGAGAGCATGAGAGGGAGGAGGGTCAGAGGGAGAAGCAGACTCCCTGCTCAGCAGGGAGCCCGATGCGGGACTCGATCCCGGGACTCCAGGATCATGACCTGAGCCGAAGGCAGTCGCCCAACCAACTGAGCCACCCAGGCGCCCCAAAACAGCTTTCTTTTGGAAGATGCCATTTAGGACTTTCATAGCTAGAGAGAAGTCAACGCCTGGCTTCAAAGCTTCAAAGGTCAGGCTGTCTCTGTTAGGAGCTAATGCAGCTGGTGACTTTAAGTTGAAGCCAGTGCTCAATGACCATTCTGTACACAAAGACATCGGTTTACAACATGGTTTACTGAATAGTTTAAGCCCATGGTTGAGACCTACGGCTCAGAAAAAAAGCACTTCTTTCAAAATAGGACTGCTCATTCAGAACGTACCTGGCTACCGAAGAGCTCTGATGGGGATGGACAACATGACTCGTGCTGTTCTCGAGCCTGTGAACACCCACTCTGCAGCACAGGAATCAGGAGTGTTTTTACTTTCAGTCTTACTGTTTATGAAATGTATTTGTAAGGCCAGAGCTGTCCTAGACAGTGATTCCTGAGACGGATCTGGGCAATGTAAATTAAACCTTCGGGAAAGGATTCGCCATTCTAGATGCCATGAACAACATTCATGATTCATGGGAAGAGGTCAAAATATCAGTGTTAACACGAGTTTGAAAGACGTTGATTCCAGCTTTCAAGGAGGACTTTGAGGGGTTCAAGACTTCAGTGGAAGAAGTAACTACGGATGTGGTAGGAATAACAGAACTAGAAGTGGAGCCCGAGGGGCTGCCTGGCTGACTTAGTCAGTCGAGCATGCAGTTCTTGATCTTGGGGTTGTAAGTTCAAGCCTCATGTTGAGTACAGAGATTACTTAAAAATAAAATCTTAAAAAAAAGTGGAGCTGTGTTGCCACCTCATCAAACTTGAACGGATGAGGAGCTGCTGCTTATGGATGAGCAGAGAAAGTGGGTTTCTTTAGATGGAATCTACTCCTGGGGCAGATGCTGTGAAGACTGTCGAAATGACAAAAGATTGAGAAAATTACATCAACAACTTAGTTGGTAAAGCAACAGCAGGGCTTGAGGACTGACTCCAGTTTGGGAAGAAGTTCTGTGGGTAAAATGCTATCAAACAGCAGAGTATGCTAGAGAGAAAGGAAGTCCACCGATGTGGGCAAACTTCATTGATGCCTTATTTTAAGAAATTGCCATGGCCAAGCCAGCCTTCAGCAGCCACCACACATGATCAGTCAGCAGCCATCAACATCCAGGCAGGACCCTCCACCAGCAGAATGATCGTAACTTGCTGTAAGCTCAGATGATGGTTAGCACTGGTTTCGTTTTTAAAGATTTCATCTATCTGACACAGAGCACAAGCAGGGGGAGCAGGAGAGGGAGAAGCAGGCTCCCCGCTGAGCAGGGAGCCCGACGCGGGGCTCGATCCCAGGAGCCTATAGTCAGCGGACTACAGTATAGTGTAAACGGAAACTTTTATATGCCCTGGGAAACCACAAAAATTTACTCCGCTCACTTTATTGCAGTGGTCTGGAACCAAACCTGGAGGATCTCCGACCTATGCCTCTACTACTTTCACACCATCGAGTTGAAAAATCGTAATTCCAGCCATCATTAGGTTGGGGACTGTCTGTACATTAATTAGGTATAAAGAAGAGAACTCGAACTCAAACTTTATAATGCAGTTCGTTTCCAAAATATCCAGATCGTAACTTTCTGTAATTTGCTGGCCCAGGGTGGTTCTGAGTCTGGGCAGATGAACTTAAAACTTTGTATGAATCAAAGTATTTAAAGACATAGGATTCCCCACTGTTCCTTAATGGAAAATGAGCCAAGCAGAGACACCAGTGATGCTGAGGAAGCAACCAGATGTATAAAGACGGCCAACGTTAATGCAGTGATTAGAGCTGTCTGGTGAGAACAAGAAAGGACAGCCCCTCTGGACAAGGCAACTGGGCAGCCATGTTTGTACAGTGAGGTATGTGATATCCAGAGCCAATTTATTTCTCACGGGTCAAGAACAAACCATATTAAGTAAAATGGGACAATAAACAAGAAACATGCCAGGCTAACTCTGGGTAAATATGAGAGTATTCTCTACATAGTATATGAAGTAAATATAATTAAGAAAGAATAGACTACAGGGGCGCCTGGGTGGCTCAGTCGCTAAGCGTCTGCCTTCAGCTCAGGTCATGATCCCAGCATCCTGGGATCGAGCCCCGCATCGGGCTCCCGGCTCAGCGGGGAGCCTGCTTCTCCCTCTCCCACTCCTCCTCTGCTTGTGTTCCCTCTCTCACGGTCTCTCTGTCAAATAAATAAATAAAATCTTTAAAAAAAAAAAAATAACAGACTACAGCTACAGTGGAAGAAAAATGGGCTTGAGTTTGAGAAGTCTCCTCCCTGGCTAGTTGCTATGTCACTATTTTTTATGTCTTCTATTTTTTTTGTTTGGTTTGGTTTTTTGTTCTGTTTTTTTACATTTAAAATTGTTAAATAAGCCATAATTCTGGAATAATTTCTAAGGCATAAATGATTGTCCGTTTAAATGAAAATGCAGTTCATGGTTGTATGGAGGATAGACATTTATTCACAGTGAAAACACACGTACCCAGAGTGAATGTCACAAAATACAAAGAGTACCGCCCAGTCTGGTGAGCTCACTATTGTTAAGCATTCTCTCATCCTGCACAGGTTCTCTCTCACTCATTTTCACCTTTTCTCCCTTTTTTATCTATTACCCAAGTTTCAGCTTAAAAATTAACAAATATTAATGCTTAACCTTTGAGCAGTAGTTACTAAGGGTAAAACAAGTTATCTGATCTTCAGCCCCAGGTATTTCAAAGCGGAATTATCTTCTAAAATAGAAAACAACAGTACATGACAGCAGCTATAACTTAAGTCAGTCAGTGAGATAAGGTTCACAGGTGCTGGGAAAAGAACTCAGAAGTACAGGTCTTCCACTGGACCGAACTTTAATCTGCATGTAGAGACACATGGCCGTACATGTGTAAGGCTCGGCTTGAGTGCCAACATGAAATTCTCCCCTGTCTGTTCAGACTCTAGAAAACATACAAGTACAGAACTTGAGTATACATATAATCTAATTTATTGTTTCAGTTTCCCAGGCCAACTGGGTAAGAATTCCTGATTCTGAATGATAGTTCTCTGAATAGGTTTTTTTATTAATGTTGGAGATCGATACCTCACATAATTTAATTAGCAATACAGTGAATGTCCTCATAGGGAAATTCCTCATTTAACACTCCCTGATTAGGTGTTATAATTTTACACTGACGTATAATGCAACTAAGAATTTTAAAGGAATACCAACCAACTTCTTTTCTTATGGGGTATTTCAGTAAATTGTTAATACATTTCAAATACTACTAATTGAAACTAATTCTATGTATTTTATTTAACAAAAAACCTGTAAGACTGACTTAATAACTGGCTCTGTGAAGCCTTACTTGGGTATATGGCAAGTTTGCGATCTAAAGGTAATTCACCTTTTGAAAAACTGATTTACTTGGTGATAAAGATATCCCATAGATGTTTACTACTTAATACTTCATCTGTAAATCTGCTTCTCTGTTACGATACACAGAATCAACTGCTATCTCAAAACGCAAGTTTGTCTGAAGGCATGCAGAGCCTTAATATTCTGGTACATAAAATTTAGTTCTATAATCCCTACTTGGAACGGTTTGGTTTTTCATGTAAAATTAATCACAGTGTTACTTGTTTGTGCAGGAATACTCCCTAATTATATAACACTTTTTTTTTTTTTTTAAAGAACATGGCAACAGATAGCAACTGAATTCTAGAAAATATTTATCTGATAATTATAAGTTCTAAGTATTCTAAATTTACCCAATTTGAAGAGAATATTTATATTCTATAATAACTTCACCAATATCCAGGATTCCTTTATAACTTGCCCTATTCTTGCACAGGAATAAGATATGCAGGTATCTAGACCCAACAGCAGTAACACTGATATTATTTGGAAGCCTGGCCTGATGGCTGGTCTTTATATTAAATTCTGTAGGTCTCTAACTCTTGCTCTTCTCTAAATCTCCTAATCACATTGAACAGTGACTTATTGCATAGCATTCAACATAATTTCCAAAAAAGGTACTTTACAGGTAAGTCCAAACTTTATTTAAAACTGCATCTTAAATTTAACGATACCAAACAAAACAAAGGGAGAAAAAAAAAAAAATGAAGACAAAAGAAAAAGAAAAAAAAAAAAA